GTGTGTGTGTGTGTGTGTGTGTGTGTGTGTGTGTGTGTGTGTGTGTGTGTGTGTGTGTGTGTGTGTGTGTGTGTGTGTATTGCGCCTCGTTGGTTATATGGGGCGCCGCAAGTTGCGTTGGCATGTGTCCCAGGCCCGGGAAGCTATGATTTATGCGCACACGCACGTTGAGAGTGGTCTTGATTATGCGTGCTCAAGTAGCACCCATTTCTCATAATCGTTAGGAAAAAAAAACATGCAATAGCCACGAAGTGTCGGAACAACGCTCATCTCTCCTCTAACCGTTAACTTTGATTCCTGTAAAAGGCGGTTAGATACTGATCGTTCATGTTTGTGGCGTCTAGTCTGCTGCCGGCGCTCTCCTGAGCATTGGTCCTTATCTGCCCTTGTAATTCTCTGTAGTAGTTTCTGCGTGTTTTAACTTTCAAAACTTACTCACCTCCTACCTGAATCTGAAATTTCTCACCCAACAATTCAGTTGAGCTTACTCGCTTCCCTTTTATTGGCTGTTCTGTGTTCCACACCAATTGGTTTAGAATGAACTCTTTCCATTGAGTTCATGTGCTTATTCAGCGGGTAGGCTCCTCGCACCTGGCCAAGAATTAAACTGGTCGTAGGATGATGAGGAGGATTAACACGCGTAAGGTTTTCCACTGTCTGCGCTAGTCAAGGTCGTTTAGGCGTCTACGTTGCCCAGGTGTGATTGCTGGTCGTGTTTACAACCACACCCAATTGCCGCGTTTTCGAAAGTGTCTTTAATGCTTTCTAAGGCTACCCGTTCACATTTAAATTCAGCTTTAGCTGACTTCTGATGCTTGCCAATTCGGTTTTATGTACTGGTGCTGTTTCTTAACCAGCTATTACCTCTCTCTCTTAAATCGCTCCTCCAATAAAATGGCTTTTTGATGTTGCAGCACAACCACTTTATCGTTCATCTGACATCGGGCCGAAGATTAACCCTTTGTGCTCCGACCTCACAAGACGCCCGGCATTTGTTTACCCTGAGCAGTCAGCTTCACGAGCACCAAACCATTGCTCATCTCTCATCCCAACAATCCGCTCGACAACTGGAGCAGCAAGGTGTGTCTTTGCTACTTATTGGGCGAAATGAGTAGGTGTGTCTAGCAAGAAAACGATTGATGCGGTTAATGAGAATATAAATTTATTCTTTCGTGGAATTTATGGCAGGATTATTTCGCTGGTTAGAGAAAACCCCACGTTATCGGACTTTAGTCCGAGGTCTTATCTAGTGTCAAAAGGTTTACGAACAAAGGTATCCAGGAACATTCACTTTCCTCACTTTAGCTAATGAGTATTGCTTATTTATTGGTTAAAAGGAGTCATATTGATTAAAACAAGTAAACGCAAAGGGTCTTCGGAGTAAAAATTGTGTTGCGTTTTCCGAATCCCACTTGACATTATTTAGCAGTGTCTTTTATCTGAAATCTTCTACGTACTTGTGTATCATGTAATTTTGAGAACTCAAATATTTAAAAGTGGACTTTAGGAGAAGGTTCACTTGCCTACTAATCTGTTGAATCAGTCATATTTACCTGTCCTCGTCTGGTGAATATGGATGGCTTCTTGTTTGCAGATAGGCGACAGTACAACGAGACATATGTCTACAGTGCTGGCGAGGTCGTTGCCGTAACACGGGTACACGGAGTTCCAGATGGGAGGGACGGTCAAAATTTGTTGGTTGAAAGCTCCGAATCTCCTGTTTTTCCTCAGTTGTCTTCTTCAACTAACAGTGATAAAAATACATACAACCGACTCTCAGCCTACATATAAAGTTTTTGGCGTTACCCGCCACGCCTTGCTCTGTGCCTTTATTCTCCTCTCCACCGCGAGTCGCACAATTTTTTCCTCAAAGCTTTTATGCACCTACTGCCGCAGTATCATTATTTTTTCAATAATTCTGTGTACTTATTTGTTTGCAATACTTTAAATAAAACTAGATATATCCTGTGCATTCCTCGCATTCTTCAACTCGTTTGTGGTCAATTAAGTACAGCGAATGCAATCTCTTTCTTAGCATCTAAACCCAACTCAACTGTTTCTGAAATCGGCGGCATGTGATTTACATCTCTAGCAGCGGTTATTGTGCTATGCTTTGGGAAGGATTAAACGTAAACCAAATCTCATGGTTCTTCACATCTTAATGAAAAATGTATAAATCGGGAGTCGGCCATCGTTTTTGGAATGTACATGAAATGTTGTGTTATCTCGAGAAGGATTTCCAATCCAAAATTCAGTCACGCACCATCGTTATCGACTCCGACGTTTTACTAGAATAAAATCCGTGTTTCGAAGTCTAATAAATCAAACATTATTGCTGAAGCGACCTCTACACTTGGCAATTACTTACGGAGGTCGTCCTTGTTGTTTTTCGAAAATCATGTCTTTTATGCTAAAGCATTAATGATAAAAAAGAATCAAAACACTTCAAAGCCTATACAATCCGGAGATCGTGCAAAATGCGCAACACTATTAATAAAATGTCCGCGCCATCCTTGCTCATTAAAATATGTAATTCTCTCATTAGAAGGCCAGCACTATAACAGCATTTTAATCCGATTTGAATCTTTTAAAGAGGTTAATTTTTCTAGTAAGTCTATGCAAAGCCGTTGGCAGTTTATTTGGAAATAATAAGAGCTTTTAAGATGAACCCATAGGGAAAGACAAAAATAGCTGGGTTGAATGGAATTTGGGTTGCCATATTCATCAATGGTAGTATGAATTGAGCATTAACCACATAATGGAAAATGTTCATGCTTGTATTTGGAATCATCATTTGTTCGATATAAGAGTCCAGGTTAAAACACTGAATCTTGTGAAAAAAGTTTTTTTGTTTCATTAATTCCAAGGTTTAATATTTCTTGATATTTATCGTGCAGTTCGACACTTGTTCAAAGACACCCATTGCTTAAATCTACCAAGGATGATAAAATACAATTTTTAAAAATTATTTGATCTTGAGAAGCATTCTTTGAGGTCAGTGTCCGTCAATAGGCCATCTTCCTCATTTATCTTTGAAGTAGGACTACATGAGCCTGTTGGTTTTTTCCGCCCTAAGCCAAAAATCCACAAATCCGCTTATGTAGGCTGTTGAATTCCACGATAAAATCTACGTGCCTAACCAGGGATGATTAAGGATTAACGAATCTGCGCAACTAACCACACAATTATTGCTTGTTTATTCGATTAGCAACCTACGTATTGTCACAGGGTCTGAACAATTGTGAAGCCCAATAATACTTAAAAGGTGAACCTAGTCATATCATTGAAACCCTAGCTCTGATCGTAGGCATACTACAAAAAACAGGTCAATAAAGTAATTAAAAATAGGAACATGAAAATGTGTCAGAATTAGTTACAGATTAGTGGAATGCGTAAAATGAAATAAATGGTTCTATTTTTCACCGGGTTCCAAAATTATCGTAATCATTGAAAACGAAGTGCAAGTCTCTGTAATATACATTTATATCTCAACGCATTCAAGGGGAAGGTGTCTGGATCTTTTTAGCCAGAAGTAGTTAGCTTTTATTTCATTTTCATTGTTAAAACTTCATAATACGTTTTTGGATTTTTTTGACACGTAAATGTAATTTACTCATATTTTTGTAGTTATTAGCAGAAACCAAATTTGTATGATTTTGATAAAAGCTTCAAAAAAGGGCTTGTTTTTCCAATTACAGGAACCAGCGGTCATTACGAATTTCTTTGGAGGTGGGTTGTGGTTTTTGATATTTTTTTACATTCACGTGATCTGTGGTTTCAAACGTTTATGCTTATACGAATGGCCCTAGATCCATGAAGATTGGTTTTCGGATAAAGTGATTAACGCGTTGTGTAAATTCATTTGTATGCTACTTTTCTATTGTGGTTTTTGAGTTTCTTCAAGAGCAGAATTATTTTTCAGTGCTCAGTATCTTGACTGCCATTTTATTGCGTTAAAATGGTCGCATAGTAAAGTCTTGGTTTTGGCATCGCGTTTTGTGTCTCTATCCCTGCTCTTCAACGATTTTTTTCGTGTAATTTTTTGGAAACTAGAACCACTTACGGGATGCCTTTAAGCGCTTATGGAGATTTCAAAACACGAGTTTTTAGTGATATCAGATGTGGGTAAAACATAAACGATGCCGTTCGTTTCTTCATATAATAGAGTTCTATGTTATCCATTGGGCACAACGTCGTTCTTTAGATTCACGCTCGCATACATTGTGCTGGCGCTAACGCAACTGCGTTTTATTGTATTTTAAAGAATTTTCCTGTTTCTTGTTCTTATGTTCTTTTTATTTTCTACATCCTATAGTCCATATATGCCTGTTCACACTTGAGTATGTTGTATTCGGTTTTAAGACAATTTTTTTCTATATCCTTAGAAAAAAGCAGTATTTGAACAAGCTATTGCAAGTTTACCGTTGAATTAGATCTGCGGTCTTGGAAAATTCCCGGTTGAGGTGGGTGTGAGTATTTTTGAACATTTTACAATTATTTTCCTTTTTATATGAATTTTGATTTTGTGGGCAACTGCTCAACAGGTTGTTTCAATTTGTGCCCATTTTTCTTCTCTTCCAGAATTATTGTGAATCCCTAACATTTCCTTATTCTGTTGTATTTATTGATTCTGTGCACTTATTGTGTGCGGTAATTTGTTTTCTGTCAATAGGGCCACTATCTGGATGCTTGTAATCAAATATGGTAACCAAACACTCGAGTTTTTGTGATACCCCTAATAATTAAAACATACATGATGAAGTCTTCAGTAACGTGCTTGGTTTCAACGCAGTCGTAGGTTCTCGTTTTCATTTTAAGGTTTATAAAGGGTCGAAGGCTCTCATCCACTGGTTGCTTTGATTTAAAAATGTCCAAATTTTGTTCCTGATCAGTTATTGGAGTGCTTCTGCCTCTAATACATTCTAATGGCCATTGCACGATCTAATAAATTGTGATATTAGGCAAACCACATGCTTAAACCTCACAAAATAATCTGTCACTTTATCTGACACATCACTTGAAAATGCGCCTAATACTCAAATTTTTAATTTGATTTTTATTTTCGGATTTTCTTCATGTGCGTTGAGGGTTGTGTCCTCTTGGTCATTTTGAAATCATTTTTTTAGAAAATGGCTTCGGAAGACGGAGATGTCGTCACTCCGTGGGATGTAAAAGCGGCTTCTGAGTCTGGTGTAGACTATGCCAAGCTGACTGAGCGCTTTGGCTGTTCCAAGATTGAGCCCGATCTTATCGAGCGTTTTGAAAAGGCGACGGGCAAACGCGCCCACCACTTTATCCGACGAGGCATTTTTTTCGCCCACCGTGATCTTGACCAATTACTAACGCGGTACGAGAGCGGCAAACCCTTCTACCTCTACACTGGCCGTGGGCCCTCTTCGACGTCGCTTCACGTCGGCCACCTGATCCCGTTCATTCTGACGAAGTGGATCCAGGAGGTCTTCAATGTTCCGTTAGTCATCCAGTTGACAGACGATGAGAAGTTCCTTTGGAAGAATATCTCTCTGACTGATGTCATTAAACTCGCCAGGGAAAACGCGAAAGACATCATCGCCGTGGGATTCGATCCCAAAAAGACGTTCATCTTTAATAACTTTACATACATGGGGTAAGCTATAACAGTCGCGCTATTGTAATCTTCATCTTTGTATGTCCGTACATTTTTACCAAATATTGAACTCGGTCACATTAATTCGAAGTGGTCTTTTAGTATGGCTTAGAAAGGAATTGTCTCGTGATATTTTTGAACTGTTTATGCTGACTTTAGGTAAAACAAGATAACGACGACTCGATTTTAGCTCTTTCGAGGTGGGTGTTAAGGCTTCCTCTGTTTTGGGCTTCCTATTGGGTTATTTTTTTATAGAAATTGTTTATTGTCGTTGCAAATATTCCTCCGTCTCATGCGCTCTTAACTGGGATGAATGGTGGGATTGTAAACATTCTAACGCCAGCGACAGTTTTGTTTCACCAGTTCATCTCACTGCGTCATTGGTGCTCGCTATCTGCCATCCACTTCAATCAGTAAACCCACCGGTCGCATTTGCTTATTCTGCTGAGTTAGAACTGTAATTTCTAAAGCGACGACTTGGCCACTGCATCTGGATAAGCATTGAACCGGTCTTTTAACAGCCATTCTAGAATTCATGTTATCCTTTCGGGCTGGCCTTTCGCTTGAACTCCTGCTCTTATCTCATATTGTACATGCAGAATTTGCCTTATTGATATATTGGTTTTGATATTAGGCCATTTATTGAGAAGAAAATTTCACCGGAAATAACTAGGAATTGTTCGCATGTGTACTTTTCATAATTATTGCTGATATTTCTCCACCGTTCCTCAAAATTGTTGATTCAGCTTCGAACAACAACCTCTTGGCCTAGTCTCCGAGTGCGTGGCTTGAAAGTGAGTGTAAGTGGGAGTACTCTGACGAGACGAGGTCCGGACTGACTGCCGGTCGGTTGTTTGATTGCCCCAGAGCACTTCTCTGTCCCATGACACCATTGCCTGCTCGTCACCGGATTTTCGGGTTTCGAATCCGTTTGCTATTCCATCCTCGACACCTCGCAATGTATTTTAGCCAGTGTCCAGAGTTCTACCGGACTGTCGTCAGCATCCAACGCATGGTCACGTACAACCAGGCTCGTGGCATATTCGGTTTCACGGACAACGACTGCATCGGGAAAATCGCCTTCCCCGCAGTCCAGGCGGCGCCCTCTTTTGCCACGGCCTTTCCGCACATCTTTCCGGATCCGGACAAGGCCAAGGACATCGGCTGCCTGATCCCCTGCGCGATCGACCAGGACCCCTACTTCCGCATGACGCGCGACGTCGCACCGCGCATCGGCATGCTCAAGCCCTCGCTCATGCTCTCCTCGTTCTTCCCGGCGCTCCAGGGCAACGTGACGAAAATGAGCGCCTCGGACGTCAACTCGGCCATCTTCCTCACGGACACGCCCAAACAGATCAAAACAAAGGTTTGTCGTTCTTACGCACTCAACTGGCTGGAAGTGAATTATCCTCCACAACCAGTAGATTAACAGCCGACCAGTCTTCATACAGCCCATTTTAGTTTCACAGAAGGTTTTTTAAAACCTGGCCAGCCAAACAAAAACTAGTGGATTCATCCAACAATTTTGACCTGCGTTAAATGACACCGACCAGGAGAGCAATTTCTTCGTGGTATGCTGTTTTCAAATGCGTAGTTGCGTACTTGGCCCTGCAACTGCACGTCTAAGTCGGCATGCACGTAATTACGAAACATCGTAGCCTTCTGTCCTAACAATTCACTTTTCGCATCAGAGACTGATGACGTCACCATTTGAGGTTTGTTATCTGCGAGTAATTACCAAACTGACAACCTGACTTCACTGGCCTTTCTTTGTGCGGAGACCAGTAGGTTTTGGTGTTTGAGCGCTTAACTTTCCGTCACTCAAGCATAGTTTGAAGCACCAAATTAACTCGATGCACGTCGGGCTAGCGTCGCAACCCGCCGGTAAACATGCGTGCCTGGGTCCAAATCCTTAGGCCGCACACGCGCCCTCAGATGCTGACTGAAGCATTGCTGTGCGCGTTTTCCTAGATCAACAAGTACGCCTTTTCTGGAGGCGGTGCCACCGTTGAGGAGCACAGAGCCAAGGGAGGCAATTGTGACGTCGACGTCTCCTATCAGTACCTCCGTTTCTTCCTCGAGGATGACGCCAAACTCGAGCAGATTCGCAAGGTGGGTCTCGCATTAACCATTGATTCGCACTCGTTAATCCGATGTTAGCACATTTATAACTCTGAGCTGTCGATGCGTACGCGCAAACGCCACACAACCCTCGGCAGACACAATGATGCCAACTTGGCTGAGCGCTCATTTAAGTGGTTGTGTCCACGCCCTCTTCGGTCTCCATCGTCATCGTGGGTATCAGGGTAGCACAATCGGGCCAGATCCGACTCAGCATCCCTCCAAGGCCAAAACACAGGGCATTATCTGTTACGTTTGCCCGTAACAAAGAGAAAACCACTCAAATAACGGTATTCGATCCCTTGTTGACGCTAGAACCGACCTTCCCACGCTAGCACAAGAACAAGACCAGAGCTCGTGCAGAGAGCTTTAATCACGTCAGCCACGTGCGGAATTAGTTGTCAAAAGTGAAACTAAATCGAGTCAAGTTTGACCTTGACCTGATAAAGTGCGTAATAAAACACGTGTTAGGGAATTAGTGTAAATTGTGCCCGAACCAACGATGAGTAATCTTGGGGAATCGTGGATCCCCAACACCATCAGACAATGTTTCCACTTTGTCGCTGTTTAGCAACGGTTCCACCTTGCCACGGTTCGATATTCTCTACACACCAGGCAATTTTTGATCAGCAATTTCACGCTGTTGTCTTCGGCTGAGTAAACGCGCTAGCCTTTTTACAATCCCTGGGGTTCAGTTGGCTAAACATCTGGGTACTTCGCTGTTAAGAGGTTGACAGGCCTAAGTCCGAATCCAGACCACGCCTATGGTTGTGCAATGACCGCGTCAAAATTTCGGACCTCCGCTTTCAAGCGTACCAATCAGTTCAGGTTTTTATGTGCCGGGGAGCCTGAGTAACACAAGTTTATCCTGACGTATTTTTGCCTTTCTCTTAGGACTATACCTCCGGTGATTTACTGACAGGCAATTTGAAGAAGGAACTGATAGCTGTCCTTACCGACCTGGTAACTAAGCACCAGCAGCAACGAGCCCAAATCACAGACGCGATGGTCGACGAGTTTATGCGTCCTCGTCGGTTGGAAATGTAGAAAATAACGCATCAAACTATGATGGTGTCACCGCAAAGTGTGTGTTCTTTTCCTCTCTAACTCCTCGTATTTAATTGCCGCAGTTGTCATCTTTATTATCCCAAAACACAGATGTTGATGCTTTTGGAGTTTGGTGGGTTTTCCTATTCTTTATTACCCGCATAATCTGTTGCTAGGTCATTTTCTAAGCCAGTGTCTCGCTTGTGTGTACAAAATGTTGGGTCGATGACTTAGCCTCGGGTCTCCTACATTAAATTTAACCGGATAAATGTAACCACTGCCGTGAATTTGGGTACGACTACATCAAAAGCACGGCAGAGCCCCAACTCCCACTAATAACTAATGCGTCAAACATGTTAATCTGTTGGTACATGAGGTTTTATCTGGCTGCGGCTTGCTAATTGTGCGGTGTGTCCTTCCAAGTACAGGTGTCCCGGTTGCGACATAGGAAACCAGGTAGGTCACCCTGTGATTACGGTTCTGTTGTGCGTCTAGTTGATTCACAATCATCAATCTGGTCATTCCAGCCACCGACACTGAGTCCCCCTTTTCGCAGCTTGTCAGGCGCGCTGATCCTCAACTCCCCTCTCATTGATTATCACGACACCTAGGTCTCGATGTTAGCGTATCTACGACTCATACATCGGGGTATAAATAGACAAGCGAAAACACCAACGTGATTGAGCTCTGAAGTAAACTGTTGTGTCCGCGTTCTCACCGGTCTTTCTCTTCGTCGCGGGTATCAAGGAAACGTACACGAGCCAGAGTTAATTTGAGTGGCCCCGGTGTGGTTTAAGACCGCAGACTGTGGCTCACAGCAGTTTCATATTGATCGATCACTAACAGATTGAGTTGAAATAGAGTAAAAACTTAGTAGCGTGTGAGGTTCACTAATGATCGACAATTTTGATTAACGTAAGCCCATATTGTGTGTATATTGGTTGCTAAGCCGACTCTGTTTACTAGGTATTTTCGTGTAAACTCTAATTTGGCGCAACCTGTTGTGCGAAATCAAAGATTTTGTGTTGGTGTAAAATTACTACTGCTATTTGAATTTAAATTCTCGTCCAGTAAGCATATTCTTGTCATTATCTTAGTAGCTGATGCCTTCATGTTGTCCTTGCATACAATAAGCTAATTTTTTTACAACGCCGTTTTACGGCCCTACTGCTCGTTAGTACTTATAGAGCCTGAGAGCAGGGACGATGATAAGGCGGTGGCCCAAGCATTTGTCTATTCGTTAGGTATGACATGTCATGGAATGTGTCTGCGCGGGCATGCCACCAATTAGCTTGAAGATCTGTTACCTGTGCTCCTTCATCAGCAATCCACTACAGTTCCACCTAGTGTTGATTAATCAGGATCACGTGATATCTGTAAGCATTCCGTGCATTACGAGCCATCAAGGTCGTGCTCAGACGAAAACAGATGCATCACCTAAAAACCCAAAGGCACATCGTTTGAAATTATGCGTAGTGCTTGTATTCGTAAACAATTAAAACAATAAAGATTAAAACAAAACGGAACAACGAAGAAGTAGCTGTCGACAGCGTTAAAGAAGTGCCTAGTGAACGAACACAGGTAACACGTCAAGGTGAATAGATTTGAATAACTAGGAAACGTTAGGATGTCCATACAGAATTTTAAATAATTTGTTTTACTTTCAATGACAAACGATCTCACTCACAAAATCTAAACTTTTATTTAAACCTGCCCGGGGTTGACAATAATTTATCGGATATACTTGTACAGAATGGTAGAGTTACACACGAAAACACGCACTGCTGTGGTTGAGGAACGCATCCTCAATATGGAGTTACTTCTAACAATAAGTATGCAAAAATTCAGGTCCAAAATTGGCAGATTTTTTTCAAAATTAATGACACATCATGGGAACAACTGGATTACGCACTAATGATCACTGATAGGATTTTAGGTAATGACACGTAAAAAAGAATGGATAAATTGACAGATCTTGTTTAGCCTAGTTCACGATGACTCACTTATTATCAAGAGGCGCATTTTGTCAATATATCCAAGTGTATGTTTAGCGGCAGAGACACATCAACTACAGATAGAACACTTGACTGGTAAACATATGCAGCTATTCAAATAAACAGAGATCTAACTTTATCGGTAGTTTCATGTTTATTCGTCTTAAAAAAATGAGGTAATGGTAACTAGCATTCAAGTGTACAAGAGTTTGGCGACTATAATTACGGACTACAGTATATTCAAAAGTGGTTTGACTTTGTCCAATATGGTTTGAATGAATGCATGTTTATTTTGAGGATTCACTAAAAAAATTAACAAAAACTTCAGTGCAAATCTCGTTGCTACAATTTTCTATCTATGCGTTCCAATGGCATACGAGAAAGATAGGCAGCCAACCAGAGACAGACACGTCTGAGAAGTGGTATTTAATGAGCGGCGTGGCCAGCGTGGTGGACTCGGAAGGACGGCGCCTGACGTGTGGTTCTGGTTTGTGATTGGTCAATCAAGCCTGTTCAGTTGTACCAGTCTTCTTCTTATAAGAGCTCGGGTATTTTACACTCGGGTGGACGGTACCCGACGTGCGGTCAATAAGACCTGTTTTGTTCCTCTTGGCTTCTTCTACAGGCCCAGCCTTAAAGTCAGTGACCCAAAAAGGTCATATATGTTCACAGTTACTCACTTTTAACAATTCATTTTAGAACCTGTTCTGACGTGTAAAATCCAAAAAAAATTAATGTGCCACAGTCATTTATATTTGCAATTGCAAAATTTATCGATCCAACAACTTTACGCAATTTCAGTTCAGTTGATGGTTTAAACAATGAAAATTTTCTAGATAAAATATGACGCATCTTTGTTATGTGCATTGAATTTTAGGTTAACGATAGACTACAGCAACTCTGAATAAATTGGCACCAGATGATTATCCTTGGTACTTTATTTTATCTGAATAATTCTGTCCTAATGTAGCAGGCTATGCCTGCTTTGTGATGATTTAAACAATCTTGATGATTTACACAAACAAACCTTTTCCTATCCTTTTAAATAAGACTCAATAATAGAAGAATTTGCATGTGTGTTCTCTTTAAACAGGCATGTCAATGATATTCACGCATTTCGTAACTATATTAATGTTAAAATTTATGGATCGACCCTTCGATACAGACAGCACATGTGTGTTAAAATCGAAATAAATACAAATTTAAGTAAACAACTAACATGCGGTACAATTGTAACCTATCAATTTAGGTCAACATTTTTGGACATATATTTGTTTGGATGCAACTGAGTTTTAAATTTTCTAATTGATTGCAAGTTTACTCCGAGATTTGTTAAGCATCATAATTTTTAAAAACAGCGAAAATCCTGTATTAGTTCTCCTGATCCTGGTTGGTACTGTTCAGGCATATTTGACGCTGATTTTTTTATATGAATAGAGCTGTAGCGATAAATAATGGTCATGATTCGTGACTTGAATTAAATACTTTTACAAGAAATAAATTTTAGCTATTACTTTGTTAGTTCAAGGCGTCATTGTTAAATATTCTATTCCGACTTTCTCCGAATATTGGTTCCTGAAGTTGGTGTTTTTTGTATACAAGTCTCAATTATCAAGACCTTGTAACTGTTTTTAGTCGCGATTTTTTTAACCTTAGTAGTGTGATTAGCTATCATTCGATTTAAGATAACCGAAATATACAATGGAAATTCAGTTTCCCTACTTATCTTTTCGATTTTGATTGGTCAGCAAGTTTGCAGTGTTCACATTTTGCCTGCCTCTGTCATCAGCGATGGGTTTGTTGTCATTTCTTTTCTTTCATGACTAGGTGGAATCTGGTCGATATTTTATAGACTCTTTGGATCTCGCGAACGTCGAATTTTAATACTTGGTCTGGATGGAGCAGGGAAAACAACGATACTTTACAAAATGCAGGTTGGCGAAGTTGTCACAACAATTCCAAGTAAGTTTTTCAAATCACCAATGTTCCTTGCACTCTGTGTTTTTATTCACCAAGTATTGCCTTAGTTTTCTTAATTAAAGTGACCTTATATGTCGTTTTTTTATGATGTCGGGCCATTGTATTATGAAAACCTCCAAGTTTTTAGTTACAATTGAGATATTTGTCTCTCACACTTAATAATCTACATGTATAATATGTTTTTCTGCCGTGTCGAGCAATTTTGCACTGCCCCAATGTCTTTTTTCATGTAGCTGAGCTAGAATGATTTGTCACTACAAAGTTTTCGGCTGTTTTTTTATCTGGCTTGGTTTGTTAAAACGTTTTGACATTAAAAAACATTAACTTGCATCATCCTTATATGTCAAAGTTAACAAAAATTCCTAATATCTTTGCACTCGTTTTAGCTATCGGTTTTAATGTCGAAACGCTTAATTACAAGAACTTGAAGTTCCAGGTTTGGGACCTTGGTGGACAAACAAGCATTCGTCCATATTGGCGCTGCTATTACGCAAATACTGATGCAATAATTTATGTTGTTGACAGCATGGATCGCGACAGAATCGGCATATCAAAGCAGGAACTAATATCAATGCTTGAAGTATGTTAGTTACAGACTTTAATTGATTTTGTCGATTTCACTGACGCTATTTTCCTCCTCTATTAGGAAGAAGAATTGAAAACGGCTGTTCTGGCTGTTTTTGCGAACAAGCAGGATATTGAAGGGTGCATGTCCGTCAGTCAGGTTGCATCTTCGCTTGGTTTGACCTCCATCAAGAATCGGACTTACCAAATTTTCAAAACGTCCGCTGTCCGCGGAGACGGTCTTAATGAAGCCATGGATTGGTACGTTTTTCAACATAATCGCTTAGTAAAACCGCCACTTTGCCTACTATTTAGGGTTATGGTTTTTTGTCGTGTCTAGTTAGAAGCAGAACCGATTATTATCCGTGTCGTTATTTGTACAGGGAGTCGGTGTTCTTGGGCTGGTAGATTTCAAGAATAACTTAGTCGCCTTAAACGTGAGAAATGCTCTTGTACAGGTTTAATACATCACCTAAACCGCGTTTGCTGCTTTTTCCAGCTAACAGAAATGCCGTGTTTGTCCTAAGATCTGGTCCCCGCTTCCAATGTATCTCGACTTTTGTGGTTTTCATGTAGTAAATACTGTAACATCTAAAGACATGCACCTCGTCAGCTATGTGTGTCTTAGTTTTCTTGTGTAGGTGTACTGGTTTAGTGACTGAATTAGATCCAATTCCGCTACTATTTTTTAGGCTGGCGGACACCCTCAGCCGACAATAACAACTATGCATAGCTGTGCCAGCATTCACGAAAGGCTGTGAGGAAAACAAAGCTCTTTGTCGTCTTCTCTCGAGCTCCGTGGTCTCTGTTTTTCCTCCTTCCTCCCATATCTTTGTATGTATTTCACTCTCTTAATCATTCCTACTTGTGGACAGATTCCTTGCTTCCATCAACTGAACGTCCTCCACATTCTGATACTTTATCCTACCAATCCTGCCAAGTCCTACTGCCAAATATATACATTATATCGGAATGTTTATTTGCCTTGTTTGTTTTGCTTGTTTATGTCATACTTTGTGTGTGAAAAATGCTGCGGAGGTGTTTAGATGGAAGCATAATGGGACTGATGGAAAACAGCATCGAGATCCTAATTTCTACCACCCCCGGCATCTTAGAATGCACCTTGGAAATGTCTTCGCTAGGTATTTCGCCTGGGATGATGGAACTATAAGTGCAACCGCTAAAAATAAACTTGATTCGCTTTCTGTGTGTCTTGTGTTAGATTTAGGCACAAAGTTTTTTTTTCAAATATCGCAGCAAAATCAGTTGAGTGTTGTCTGACGGGGAGCTCCGGTTCGTGTGTCTGTAATTAGTGTTCGGCATATTGCAGGTTGAATGCATCTACCTGCGAATTTGCATGGTTGGCGTTCATGGGGTTTCGTTCAACTGTCATTTCGGAAATTGTACCTCAATTTAGGCCACTTTGGATGTAGTCTGCCTGCGAAGACAGCGATACCGTGTAGTACTGTCATTATACGTAAAATTTAATAGACTGAGTATGTTAAAAGCCACCAATCTATTGTTCCAGTTATGCCTTTGAACGCCAATTAGATTAGAGGGGCTGTGAGCATCCGTTACACATGTGTGACCTTAGCCACAACTGCGATGGGGATTCTTCTTCAGATAGCTCAAAACTATGCGGTCGTCGAAGCCATTAAAACCACCTTTTTCGAGATGTTGAGGTTTTGGGGGAACAACCCGAAAAAAATCACTTTAAAAATCCCCATGTAGGATAACTGAAGTTACTGATCTGCTTCGCATTAAACCTTCCCATCAATTTACCAGTTTTCCAACTGATATTTGAAGCTTAAGCATTACCTCTGCAAGCAGACGACAAATCCGGACACTAGACGCATGGCCTTTTAGCTGGCTCGTGACGGAAGTCTCGTACACGGTGTGAACTAGGCTGCCACGACTTTCTCCGCGGCACAGTGTGCTTTGTAATAAAGGTTTCGGACTAAATGCTCGCACTGAATTTAGGTAAAAGAACTGAGAATCTGGCTCTCTCATTCTCCCCACTGCAGCTACTGTTTCAGGTCGGTAGTGCGTTGACTGTCGCGTGATAAAAAAAAAGACGGATTTTCAGAAGAAAGTCCATTTGCAGTCATTGTGGCAGAATGTCAAGTGTTCGATTTGGCCTTTGGGGCGAGTGCGCCTGGTCTCAGTTGGGGCGAGGTCGTCACGTGACTGGCAGCTCGATCACTGGCAGTCCCTGTCCTCTTCGGCCACTTCGTCGTGTTTCGCGGGTAGCAATTCGCCCAGGATCTCATGTGCCATGTGCTGCTGCAACCGTGGCACGTTCACCTAAAACGAATTTTTAACATCACGTGACTCCGAACCCTCGCGCCAATTTTGTCGCCAACTTCAGCAATCTCCATAACATTGACACCTTCGACAGTTGTTAGATGCTGACTCATCCGGGTCTTAGAACATAGAGCAAAAGTCTTAGGCGATTCTAGTTTTTGTTCGGTCAAAACAGCGTGCTTAAAAAACCGCGCTTTTCAGAACCTGCAGTTGATTTCACGTTACAGATTTCTTCTGTGGGTTTCTCGTGTAAAACACACACCTACACAAATAATTGAGGTTTTGAGTGGGAACCTCAGTTGCTATGCTTCAAAGGGCGAAACTGCCTTTTAGTAACAGTTTTGTGTTTAAAATATGAACGCTACCGAAAAATAACTTACCATCTTTCTTCGGTGATCCAAGTAGTGTTGAGGTGTGTATGGGATGGGGAAGCGCTTTAGTAGGTCATCATACTAAAGAACAAGAAGCAGATAAAAGATAATGAGGGGATACCACACTGGATACATTAGCAGTAGTCACGGCGCTCAATCCTAGTTATCGTAACGCTACCACCTGAAACCAGATTTAAACAGATCAAACGGTGAAACCTTAAAGCTTTGTAGGTTGGTAAAATCATGTAGAGTGAGTTCTGGGTCGTTTCGTCATCAAATTACGGAAACTCGCCCTACATAAAATCGCCAAAATGAAGGGCAGCTTGGGGAAGGCGGATCGACGAGGACGATAATTCAGCGGAAGTATCGCACGCATTAGTGCATTTGCAGGTACCCTCGGAACGACAATCAAGCTCTGGCTTACACACGAGTGGTTTTATTGCTACGTTAATCACACTTAGAACAAAGGTGCTTCTTTGCTTAGCTCACACACTCAAGGAAGTAGCATATTTAGCCTTAAGTGTATAGTTGTGGCATAAATGAAACATTCGCTCACATAAAAACAACATTATCTGATATTTGCATGCAGGAAGGGCTCCTTCCACAGTTGATAAGAGCTAATAAGGGCACTGGAACTGCTAATTTAAAATCAATATAGACACATGTTACAGAACCACAGTGTGAATGCCATGTTTGGATGCAGGATCTCATTCACGGAAGCAACCACCTGGCGACATCAAGGCCATTAAATGTCAAACTAGTAGTTGAACCTGAAGGGAAGTTAGAGTGAAGTACACCGCCCCGTTTTCCAAACTAGAATAACCGAATAAACTCCGTAATAAACTCAGCAAAGTGTACTCTAGGCGACGTCTACCTTGATCGGAACCCTGATGTGCCTCGGAACGGGCAGTTCTAGAGAGAAAGGGCTTCGGTTTCTGGAATTACGCGGCAGAAATGCACTCAAGTATACCCCCACGCACGCAGAACATGAAACAGACAAGAATTTGCAGTCCCTAATAGCGCGCCCATATCTATATGCTGTGGTGACAGACACTTTGAAGGTGATCGCATACCGTGACGGCAGTGGAGCGGTACTTTCTGCAAGCCGACTTGATGCCGCCCAGTTTGGCACCTCCACTCTTGCCATCATCATTTCCATCCTGTTGGCGAACACTAGTGACGGTTCCCTGTTGTGAGGATGCTGAAAAAGTGCAATAAGTAATGGGTTACGAGTCTGCATACTCAGCAACAAGCTGGAAAGGGTAGCACTAAACGTACTCTGATTGATTGCAAAGGCTGTTTCGTATTCGTAGACCTAGGGAAACCCAAAGCGTCGTGAGTGGTGTGAAAGAAGGACAAAATAGGTAAGCACTAGGTCCCACAACTGCTAGCCTTCCTGTGATCACTACAACTTTTCAGGCACTTTACTTGAACGCCGACAAGATAATATGCAAAAAGAGTAGAGGAGTCAATCAATCAATAAATCGTGAAAAGCCTAGATAAAGCAGTGTTAAAGAGCAGTTACGGAGTTTAGTTGGAATGTACCTGTGAAAGGAGGTCGTCAACCTTGTGGATGGCAATCTTCTTAAGCTTGCGCTCATCAGCCAGTCTCTTCTTGAGGTTTTCGATATCGCGCATCGCCTTTTCGACAACCTGTCGCTTGGTTTTCTCGTGGACTGCCAACTGCTCGTTCAAACCACTAATCTGCACGTTCTTCTCTGAAATGTCTGCGAGCTAAAAAGCGTTTGGAATAATTTAGGAGTTTCAAGTCCGAGTCACAAGAAACTAATGGGCATTCTAGGTACATGTCTGACTCTATTCCACCTGAAATCGTTAGTGTCTTCGACGACAAATTTAGGTACATCCAACGACACCTGAAAGAAAATTCCACTGGATTTTAATGATGTGAGAAAAATGGCGGCGTAGGTGGGCACTTACGTACTAGCAAAAAACATGTATCGTTCAATTGGTTAATTCTATGACATAATTGTAGCACGACTGTGGCGTAACAAATAGACAGGTGTTATTCTTAATCTTTGTCAATGAACTGGGCGCCCACATTTCCCAATATCGTGAAGATGGGCTTTTGCTACGGCAGATATGGTCTCCTCACAAAACGGTGGCCAGATCCACTACCAACCCAGCTTTATTTGAAGGTCAGGGTTGAGAGCTCATGGCTGCGTTTTAAGGCTCGACCGATGAAAGAATACCAAAATAAGGGCTACGAGTAGTTGCCTCAACAGCAAAATTTGGCTATCACATGTGCGTATTCGGATTGTTGTGACTCGTGTTTATTCAACCCCTTAATCCGGTCGCTCCACCTCCTACACAGGGTTCCCCCTTGTCGCAGCATGTCGCCAGCCGCGCAAATCCTCAGCTCCCCCTTCACTAGCACTAATATTTATCTTGGAGTATCCCCACACCTAGGTCTCGATGTCAACGCATGTATGACTCGATATCCGAGCTATAAATACACACGCGCAAACCCCACACATGACACAACGACACCAACGTGGTTGACCTCTGAAGTAAACGGTCGTGTCCACGTCTTCATCGCGGGTATCTGGCAAGCGTAATCGGGCCAGGGTTAATTCCGTGGCCCCGGCGTGGTTCAAGACCACATGCTGGGGCCCACAATAAGTGTAAACATCTTTCTCACGTACCAACTTCTCAATGTGCATTTGTTTGATCGCAGCGATTTGCTTGTCAGTTGCGGCCTTGCGTTCGGCGACGTTCCGCTTTTCGATCTTGTCTTTCACCTGGAAAAAAAAGTGTCTAACTGCAAAACGGGACATCTACGGCACAACAGGATGGACAAACTGGCGGGGGTACCTCTTTATCCAATTGGCGACGAAGATCGACCAGTTCCTTACGCGTTGAGCTTAAATTTTCACGTAGTTTTGCCATTTCGTCGGAGAGGTTGTGCACTCGCTGCTCCGATAGCATTCCGAGGCGCGTGACCTGCGTCTTGCTCTTATTCCGCTGATCTTCGACAGCTTTGATCTGGAGTAGCAATGTGATGGAATTACTAATGCAAGCATTTAAATACATAATGCTTCTAGCAACGTTTGCCCCAAGTACGCTGCTCCTCAAAAGTACTTTACAAGAATGCAGTAGAATTGGTTGTTTTGAGTGAAAGTGGATTCTTTTGGACGTGGATACTTCAACATCGTCGAAAAACAGTAAATTAATTTAACCCGCTGCCACAGTTGTTTGAGTTTGTGCATCCACTTAAAGGAGAAGAGGAAGTAGAATCAAATGAATTAGCAAAGATGGTGTATTTCAAGATGTCTGAATACATCTTACTCGCTAAAGCGCTCTGTGGGCGTCGAAACTTATTTTAAATTTACGGTGACAACTTCAGCATCCAGTTGAAAGCGGTTTTTTGCCATCGACTCTAATCGAGCTGCTGAATAAAACGCCAACGTCTGTCTAGGACGCATGGCTCTCTACTCGTAGCGGATACTAAGACAGCTAGGAATTTGATTAAGCATGTCCACCACGAGAATTCGAATATGTGGCCATTTGCGTAATGTGTATCTTATTTAGCTCCAAAAACGGCTTTTTCTCGTGTGATCAGTGTGATTTCAACGGCAATGTTTCTCTTCATACGGTGTAAAAATTCCGACAATCCTCTATTGGGTGGTAATAAAGTATAAACAACCGTAGCTTTGCCGTACAAAGATGCCTTTATCCGACTCGATAACAGCTGCGCTTTATCAAATTGGTTTGTTCATTGTCTGGTCTACTGTTCTTTAAAATAAAAATCTAGATTTTTGCTGTATTACCAAGTTAAACAAAGAAAAGCCCACAGAACTGAATCGATGCAACTAAGCACTGTTTTCTTACACGACTGGGTAGGTACTTGCATTTGGACAATATGGATAAGCAAAACCGAAGTAACTTGAATTTATACTACTAAATCTACCAGAGGGAGAAGCATTTGCGCTTCAAGCAAATGAAAACCAAGTGCTTCTGTAGCAGCCCTCAATTTAACCACCCAAAAGGCCCACAGAGGTACCTGTTTTTCGAAGACACAACGAAGCGTCGTTTCCTTCCAAACTCCCATGGACTTAATCCTCGAGACCATCTGTTGAAGGTGGACGTTCTTTTGGTGGACATTGTTGATTTCCCTCGAAAGTCTGAGGTTTCTCTCTGCCAATTCGTCCTCTGAATGAGCGCAAAATAAGGACAAAGTCAGGGCGCAACTTTGAATAGGCTAAGTTTACAGTGATGTGTACTACTAATTAGAAGTTCCTCACACAAACGAGGCTAAATCTGGCCAAAGTGATTGTTTTTAGCGCGTATTTTGATTGCGAAATCCCCAGCTTCATTCGCATGTTTCCAATTAACCTTATTTCACATTATTTTACCTTATTTTGCCTTGCATTTGCCCATTTGGGTGCAATATGCATGTTCCTATGACCTTAAGCAGGATAAGGTGACAGCCTAACAAGGCCAAGCTTATGCAATGCGTTTGTCGGACTCAGTTCTAGCATTTTGGAGATGAGATTGAAGGCTCTGAAACAAAACCGGATGATCGTGGAATGAGTTGGAGATCCTGGTGCATTGACAGAAGCCATTAAGTCGGATTTATTTCCAGTAATTCAATGGTGAAAAGAACAAGTTCGGTAAATTTTCTTTGAAGACTAAAAAACATGAAGAGGTTGTTACCTTGGGCAAAATTCCTCTCTACAACACCGACAGTAGTAGTGATTTGAATTACCAGAAGCGTCAATGGATGATCAAATGGACACAAACGCTTTAACCAACGTGGTCAGAATCGCATACTATGGGTTTATGGAATTAGTTCTAAAATGTCTATTTTCCAGCCAACTTTGATAGGAAGTACAGCGCATGAGAACCTGTGATGCCTTCGTACCTGCAGAGCTCTTGGCACCACTCTTCTCCTTGATCCTCGCCATCTCAGCCGAAGCCTCATCGCGCACCTCCGAGATGCGTTTGAGGGTGATGGAATGGAGGTGGTTTCGATACTCGTCGATGCGTGATTTCTGTTCAAAGCTCAGGGCGAAGAGCTTGCGCATTGCCGAGCTGAACTCCCGACGAACTTGGTCACGAACCTTCGCCTCTGAACGCGCCATAACCTCGGCGTTCTCAGCCAACTTGGCTCTCAAGGCAGTCACCTCTGAATGCGAAGAGGGAATGCAGTACAGCGGTTGTATGGAAACGAACAACTTCACCTGTGATAACTAACCTAGGATTAGGTTGTGCGCCTGCTCCGACATCTGAAACTGGACATTAACCTCGGTTTCTAGTTCTTTTTGCTTCAGCTGTTCCTTCAGCCCGACGACTTCGCGTTCCTTAGCGTACAAAAGGCTGTGCTGATTCTTTATCAGGTTTTCGTAGTACATTGCATAGCTAGTACAAAAGTCAATGTACAATTATACTTTCAAACTGTGTACAATATCGTCACTGGTAATGGACGAGATGGTCTAGTGTTTTCATGGGTTAAGTACATACACCAGCTTCCACCTACTTCGTGCTAGATGATTATTCCTTCGGGTGTCCATTTAGTAACAGTCTGTAACTTCTGAAGGCTACAGAATACCGAGGTAACACAAAGTACTCTGTAGTTGTAACGCAAAAATTGTACTTGATGGGCAAATTATGAGGTAGGTATCCCTGTCCCTGCGTCTACAGCTAGCCATTCAGTGGCCTAGGCAACAGGCCAGTGCTTTATCAAATATGCAAGTCACATAATGCAGACTTAGTATCGATGACATACTTTTCGTAGGCTTCTCTCTGCATCCGCATAACGCCAATCGACATATTCTGCAGGACCTTGTTAATATGATCGATGTCGAAAGTTATGGTCTTCTTTTCGCGGTCTTCCAAAGCACCATCCATGAGGTTTGAGAGGAACTCTTCAACCAGGGCAGGGCGTTGAACTGTCAGGGATTCCTTCATCGCCTTTAAACGTCATTACTGCGTTATGCATGCATGACACTTCCATTTAGTCTACTATTTATAGAACCCAATGAAATCACCACCAGTTTAGGAATCCAAAAGGGACGATAATATTGAAAGACGCGAAACAGGTAGCAACATTGATACTGGTTGATATCTTAAGTGTGATTTTCTTAATAGATTTAGAACATCGCTGTACGACAAAAAGTAACCGGCGTTGCTACTAAAATCACCCATGAAATAATGACTAACATTAAGATTGTCACCCTACAGTTGTTTAAATAGGAACAAACAGATACTGCTATCGTTCACCTGCTGTCATTAACAATTACTCTTTAATAACCATCAATGTGACTGCGATACGATTCAAAATCCTACCAACGACTTAAAACGTCACGTGAATTGCGCTCAGTGGTACATTTTCAACCTAACCGGTGACCTCCCAATAACTAGAGCAACTGACATGCCATAAAACATTAAAAAATGAAAAAAGTAAAACTATTGTCATGCCGTTGAAATTTCCAAATGCAAAACACTCACGGGTTTCTTCCATAAGTCCAGTGGCAAGCTTCCTTCCTCACGATTCCTCTCCTTGATGACTAAGTCAATTTGGCGTACAATCAACTTGCGAATGTCTCCAATGATGTAATTTTCAAAGGCTTCAATCAGCTTCACCAACTGAAAACGGAGAATATGCAAAAGTGGCGTCTGCTTGATTTGATTCCAAAAGGCAGCACAAGGCTGCGCAAGAACCTACCTGTCGCTGTAGAATGACCATTTCTGGAATACCCTTCGGCGAGATCTGCACGTCAGTTTCTTGGAAGGGACCGAGTGCGAATATTTCAGGTTGTTTGTATTGGATGGAAAGGCTTCGCAGCAGGGGGAAGAGACGCTCTCGACGGTACACTTGTCTGAAGGATCAAATTTTGGAACTTTTACCTGTTTTTCACTCCCAACTACAAGAGTCATGCGTGTGCGGTTCGTGCAGAGTATCAGTGGCTTGGTTTTACGCATTAAACAGATTTAAAACTGTAAAAACCAAGGCTGATATTGGAGTCTTAAGACTTACGTGACTTGACAATGAAAAAAAAAGAATTGACAGGTTAGGTGGAAAGCAGGGTGACTTACGTGACCTGTTTGAAGCTGGCGGGAGTGTCGATTTCCTCCAGTCCGAGTCGGCGCTTGCCCCATTCGCGCCTGATGAGTTCGACGCGTTTGCGAAGAATGATGTACTTTTTAATGAGGGCGTAGGCAGCCATGGGCGTCTCCGCTATGCTCAACTTCGTTTCTGCGGGGACTGAATTTTGTGGAAACAGCACAAGTGAATCGGGATGCTACTTCCAAACATCAAGCCTGCACTTGAGTTAACAAACATTCTGTCGCTTCAAGATTTACGATGTCATCTGCAAGCCTTGCTAGGTCCAGTCCCCCACAGAATGAAATCCAAGTGAATACCGTCCAAGTGAGAGGTGTTATTCAAAACCTTGCCATCAATGTTGCTCTTTATCGAGTACATCCTCCATTGTCGGGATGTAGTGCGTGTTAAACAAGATGTTATTTCTCTTTCAAAAGACGTCGTGTTGGAGGCTTTCTCATGCACCCAAGGTATGCAGCTTTAATCTAATAAGGTGGCCGAGTTCTTCACTAAAGAACACATTTTCAACTGTCCCCAAAACTAACCTGCCTTCGCACTAATTTCAAATGTTGGAGCGGTTTTACTGTGATACCGAGTGAGTTTTAATCTGCAATCATATCCAACACTTATCGCTGCTAAACCTCTCAGGTGCCTATCACTTGGATGTGGTTTTACCTCTTTAAAATCGGAACGTCTTTAGATTCCCAGTCACCGTGAGGCTGATTGAAGGAGTCTTACTGATAAATTTTGAGACTTAATGACCAGGAGCCTGCTTCTAAGATTTCACAACGGGCACGACGCTTGTTTACTGGCCCATGCGCAATAAATAGTCACCCCCTCACCCGAAGTATCAGTTTTTGTTGGGTGTGAAGCCTCCGTGGTGGATTGAACGTTTTCGGTTTCTTTGGTTTCCGTTACCTCACCGCCGCCTCCTCCTGTCCCGGTGGCATTAGCTCCGGCCGCGGGAGCAGGTGCTTCCTTGCGTTTGTTGCGGTATCTGCGTCCGAGGAGGTAGTGGAAATTCTCGTATTCCTCAATGGGCAACGGCTGGCCGGCCGCTGCCTCTGGCACATCACCCGTTTCAAGGACGTCTTCAAGGGCAAGCATCAAGGAGAGAAATTCGCCATGAACAGTCGGCCTAGACGAAAATGACCAGAAAGTGGATAGGGAGAGCTTTCCATCCTACCTGTGAATTCAGTGCTAGCTCAGTTGACTATTGGAATTGTACACACAATGAGTGCATTCAAGAATTGGAGGCTGTTGGATAAGTGTAAGCCTGCATTCTGCCATTCCCGTACATCAAACTCCAATGCGTTTCGCATGACAACACCAACGCTATAAATGCACAAACTTAGAAGCCACTGCAAAAGCTAGCGCCCTCGAATAGATTGATCCCTAAGGCGAACTTGATTTCTACCAAGTCTTCAAGCGTATCTGGGGTTATCGTCAAGGCGAAGTTGCTCCCCTACACTTGAGCCTTTCCCCACTAGATTATAAGCACTAAGAGTTGTCTTAAAGTCACAGGACGTTCTGATATGTCTCTTTCCTCTTAGGATACAAGATTGGTTCAAGGCCCAAATTTCTAGGTCTGTAGGAGTTTGGTGAAGTCTACTCAGAACGGACGCACATCTGTATCGGTTGTAACAGTCCCCAATACATGGGGCAATGAGAAAAATGTGTTAGATGAAACGTAAGACCTAGTGACGGATCTCATTCTCAACTGTAAGTGAACGCAGAAGGATTAGAAATCTCATTAGCCACAAATGCAGCCAGCTACCTGTTTAGTCAAGGCGGCTTCAAACGAGAGCAGTGGACAGTCATTTGATTTCGGGTGGATGACCAACGATTGGCTCCGTTACCAAGTGATATGCATACAGAAAACGGACAAATTACACTGTTAGCAAAACCATCGTTTTTGAGGATATTTGAGATTGTCGTGAATACTGTTTACTCAACCCCTTAATCTGGTCGCTTCACACATCCAAGGTATAAATACACACGCGCAAACCCCACACACGACACCAACGAGATTGAGCTCTGAGTAAACGGTTGTGTTCACGTCCTCCCCGATCTTTTTCTTCATCACGGGTATCAGGGAAACGTAACCGGGCCAAGGTTGATTCCGTGGCCCTGGCGTGGTTCAAGACCACATATTGGGGCCGACAAGATCTGTATTTTAAATGCGTAAGTTTCTTAAAGTGTAAGTGATGCTAAAATCAGCAGTTCTTGTCATAGGGTTTCACGATTGACGAAATTTAACAACTGACTGACATGAGACAAAATGACATCCAAATGGGGCTCATAGTACTTTTCGGGACATTTAGGATTAATGATGATCTTAATAATGTACTTTGAGATCTAGTTGGTTACTAGGTGGGCACTGCTCGTAGAGCCTATATATGGCCCTTCATTCAACTACCATTGGCCCGTGTAAGGCAAGGTTCTTTTCGCCAAATGTTCGTACACAATAATGTTTTTCAACAGTGGAGCAGGAAGCAGCATTAATTAGAGTCGACTGTAACGCGGCCTACCTGTCAACATGTTTGAGACCAGCCATGCACAGACGAATGTTGTACTCAAGGCGAGTCCAGCGAGGATACTGAATGGTGAAAGGGCCGGAGGTGTTGAGGAATGAGTGCCAAGGGAAGATCGTCCTGGCTCGTTCGTCTTGTGGCTCCAAGGGCTCGGGGACAGACATCTCGAGGGTGTCCAAGCTCGGCTGACAGCGATTGCTCATCTCCGCCAATGGGAATCGACTCCCATCGACAAGTTCCTAAAAATATTTGGCCCGCCATTTGTGATGTTCGCGATTCTGCTGCATAACGTCGGACTGCCAATCATTTTCAAAGGCTTTTTGGATAAGTAAAGATGGCTGTGTTTTGATTTAATCGACCAAGACTGCAGTTGAAGTTTGGATCAAATATCTTGTTTCCCTATGAACTTACTTGGAATTGTTACTCTACCAAAATCTTTCTCGTTGTGTGACAACCATGCAGGCTCCAAAACCCGCTTCGACATACAAGATCTGATTTCCATAATCGTAAACAGTTTAAAACAGCTGGTGAACAGCTGGATAGCCCCATTTCAAGAGTTGGCGCGATGGAAAATACATAAATATTTTTCATACTTTCAACGAAGATTGAAAAACTACTAAGAAACGAAAGTTGACCAAAAGCAATTCCTTGCAATACCTTGTTACACTTTTATACATATATAGAAATTTGGAAACCGCAATAAATCGAAAGGAGCCTTCGATTGTTTAAATTCACCAATGATTTAATCATGTGTGGGCGACAGCCACAGTTAAATTAAACGTGCCCCATTCAACCCACGCACGCCGGTCTGGCCTATTCTTTCTCCTCCTCTCCCTTCCCGCACTCTCGCCTTCCTCAAGGCACGCCCGTGAGTCCGAGGGCGACGCCAACCCTCCTCGCGGCCATACCCTTCCCCACTCTAACTCTCCCTAAGCTCTAGTCCTCTGAGTTTGTATGCGGTAGTATGGAATACATCCGGTTCTTCCAGCTACTCTTCTATCGTGTGCCTGGTAGCTAACCATGACGGTGTGGCTATCTAAGAGGGACGGGCTAACAGTCATCCCCCTATTTAGGCCCCCGCTCGTTAGGCGCATTACACATATCTACGTGGTCTCATCCTAGTGATTGAACTACAGTGAACACTGTGTTGAAACAAGATGAAGCAGAAGGTGATGTCGGAGATACATCAAGTAGGCAAATTACTTTATACCCATTTGTCCCGCGGATGTTGTTTTGGCATGCTATCTTAGGACCCATTGGAAAAAAAATAGAACAATTTGTCCCTATTGCAACGGTGGATATGGATGGTGCGTGTGTGTGTTGTGATTTCATGCTTACCCTGTAGGCTTCTTCATTGCCGTTGGCCAGGAACGTTTCACCGAGCACACTCGATAGGCAAACGTCCAGCAGCAGGAACATGTACTCCCGACGTGCGTTGAGGAGCTCGACAACCTGCTCTGGATCTTGGGGGTCAGGAAGAAGGTTGATCTGCGACTGAATTTCCCGCAACTCCTCGGCTGTAAGAGAAAATTTACGGGATCAAAAACATAGAATCGCCTTGATCGCATTATGGAGGGTTCCCTTCAACCGTTTGCACATGTGTGTACCTGCAGTCGTATGACTTTCTCTTAATTTAACATCCTCCGAGGCATCTTGATTTGTGAAACTCAAAATTGGTCTATTATGTCAGATTTGATTGAGGATCAATTACTCTAACATCTCAAGAAGTAAGGGTACCGCAAAATACATCAAAATACTTCAGTAAACTGAGAAGATGGAATGCAATTTCGACTGAATTCCTAGCCAGAAGTTTATGAAGGATTCAACAGTGGGATATTGGCAAAAGGCATTAGCCGATAAATGAAGTGTCATTGGATCAAACCTCGAATTCGAATGAAGGAGACCACTCGTTATGATGACACCCAGCTCCCATGGCCACTTCTCTCTGAACTACGTTTAGTTCAGACCACGGTGTAGTGGGCTTTGGGAATGGCTTCGACACTGGCGGCGGTGATTACTCATTTCCCCGGATCTCCTTCTGAATCACTTGACCCCGTTCCTGACACTCACGCCCTGATTCCTTGCGACGTACTTGAGGAACTAAACCCTCCAGACTCCTACCACCATCAATGTAGACACTTCTGTGTAACGGGCACCAGCTGTTAACCCTCACGATCTACAGTACACGTGAACAGCCATGGTTCTACACACCCAGATCCACTGGCCTAGTAAACGGTTGAGCCTCCGTCAAATTTGGTCTTCTCCGATTACTTCGTGTCAGGCCGCAGAAAAAAAATAATTCGATTGCACCGGTTTGGATGAGACCCAGTTCGGCGCCTTCAACAGTCTTGTCCTTTTTCTAAGCAACAAACACATCCACATTCCTTTAAAATGACTGTAAGGCTAAAGCGAAATGTCGTACTTACCCAAACTCGACATAGGACCACCATCAAAGGCGCTGATTTCATCTACAATGATGAGATAGAGAATTGGTAAGATACAAATGAAGAAAATGCCAGAACTTCTTTTAAAGTTATTCTGAGTATAAATCTCCAATTGTAAATCTCATTTGTGAGTTCAGTAAGTCAAGCGCGTGTCGTTGAAAAGTAAAATTATGTGTGCTTGGTTTATCATGGCGGTCTTTAGCAGCCTACAAATGTGTCATGGTTAGACTGCGCTGTTTAACAGATTCAAGAATTTGTAAGTTCTGGTGAAATAATATATGGGGGTTGGGGCACCAGGCGTCAACTAACACCGACTTAATAAAGTCATCTTCGGTTGATAAAATTTTATATAAAAAGCCTTGCCGCCAGCATGGATGTAGCAAGTTGGTGACTCAAACTGGAACAATGACAAATGGTTTCAACTCCAAAGACAGTTAGTCTCCTGTTTGCTGGTATAGTACAACCGATGACGGGTGTCAGTGAAGTCACCGCAGACAAAGCTTTATGTGAAGAAATGAGTGAATAAAAGGAGCAAAGTCACTTACCGACAGCCTGATCAATCAGAAGGCTCTGTCCGTTCGGCAAAGTGAGCCCGTTCGGGGTGACCGCATTCTTCGGCTGCTCGTTAATTTCCGCTAACAATTCCGGCTTGCCGGCTACCACAAGCTCTGCCATGGGACTTTCGGCAGCCGCCTTGGCCGCCAGCTGTTCGGCAAACTCCATGGACGAGGTTGGATGGCGTTCATGTACCATGGTCTTAATAGTCTGCAAAGAGAAGTAGTGGAAAACCAGGTAACTCTCGATATCTGTGTGAACTGCGCGATGGGCCTCGTAACGATTACACGGCTTCAAAACCTGACCGGCAGAAACTGTTTTAAAAGACTAATCGGACAAAGTGACTGGAAACATCGTCGAAATGATCAAAGAGTGGCCTAAAAACTTGGTATTTCTGGTTGTAAGTGTGAACTTTGTTAGAGAGCTCCTGGATTACTCTAAATCTAGTTCTGATTCACAAGCTAAGTGACTTAGAGTCAGATCAAACATTCGTAAAAATATTTGGAAATTTAATACAATTTAAAGTAAACACGCAGCTTAGAATGCCAGTGGCCCATTGTACCTTGAAGGTTCTTACCTTACTTGCCATCGCGTGAATCTGCGCCCTTTGTTCCGCCGAAATCTTTGACGAACTAATGCCCAAACGCGAGAAGGCAATGAGGTAGTGGACGATGTCGTGCAAGGCGCTGGCCAACTTGCACATCGAGCGCAGTGCCCGAGTCGCTGACTCGTCATCGAGCTGTCGAAAGACAAACAGCACCTCCAAGAAGTGGGGGATGAACCAGAGGTTGTAGAATTTGGTCCCGTCCAGCGAGAGCACTCTACGCACGCGTTTCCGCAGTTGTCGGGGGTCTACTTTGGCCATCTCTGCGTCGTCATCGGTGCCCTTCTTTTCAAACATCGTGCCGATTGTGAAGAATTCTTCACTGTATTGAAAAGGAATAACACGTTTTTTCCTCGGCGGGTATCAGGTTAAGTAATTGCTAGACAACGCAGACAACTATTAGTTTGCAAGTTCAATTCATGGAAATTAGCCAAGTATGAACAAGCTTACCAAATATTAGGCACCTTTCTGAGGACAGTTAGTAACGATGTGTAAATAGCGATTATTTGGCCACGCAACGCTGTCTGCTGCGTGCGTCTGCTATAATCGTCGCAGAACTGGGAAATGAGGTCGCTGAAATCGGAAACAAAAGACTGATCCGTTGTGTTTTAGTGCAGTCACCTTATGGTCGGCTACCTGAAACCTACCGTTTTAATTTCTCACTTTCAACTGACGAATTCTTTGACTTGTTCTTTGATTTTGCGGAAGCCTCGAGTTTCTTAGCGAACGTATTCATAACGCGGTCCCTACAGCACGTCTGAAGAGAATAATGGCGTATGTGTAAGCCTGACTGACAATACGTTGTTTACGGATGTCATAGGTAAGTATTTTCAAAAATGTATTTGAATCGTTTGGGCAAAAACATGTGAAATCCCGTGTAGATAAGGATTTTGGATTTTGTGAGACCACATCCAAGTCAAGCCAAACAAAAGGCATCGCGCGTTGCCGCAACACAACAGCAAGCAATTGCCGTTTGTGTTCCACTTCAAATCAACGACAATGAAGTCACCTCATTACCTTTTCCAGCTGCACAGAGAAGAATGCCTCTGGGTGGTAGTCAGCGTAAGGCATGTGGAAGGCCCGTTCCAGAGCCAGGGGCGTTGGACCCATCTGAGTTCCCGTGAAGCCGGTGTACTCGGCGATAGAAGTTCCTTCCTGGTCCATTGACCGACCCTTCCTTGAGAAAAGCAACATTTTGCAATCATTTAAAGCAGAAATTGTAGACTATAGTCCTACGCTACTCGCTGAGAAGCCAAAAAGTAGTATGATTTACCGGCAGAAATTAATGAGCATTGAAAAAAATATATCTGGGGCGGATCGAGTTCACATACCACTCCCTCCTAATGATTTAAGTAAGCTATTACAAGGGGCGAAATCTGTTTTAATTTGAAGCTACTGACACGTGCTAGCGAGGCAATGACAAACTTACTTCCCTCGACTGAACGCTGTGTTGAAGAAGGAGGGTTTGGAATTGAATGCGAGCATCAGGGCAGCGATGAGGGCGTTTTTATGAGCTAATTGGGTTTTGAGAATCACCAAAAGGTTATCGACGCCGCGTTGATCGCAAAGCTAAGGGGGTAAGAAGATTGCGCATTATTGGGTGCTGGTGTGACGATTGTTTGCAATCACAATATGATTACTGCCGTGTTTATCCGAGGCTATTTTGCATTTTTGAAAGGGGAACAGTTAAAGATAGTTGTCATATTGAACTTCGACGCAGCAAGGCACATCTGCAGGTAGGATTTAGACACATAACAGTAAGGACTACGCAAATTTACTGTAATTGAAACCGACAACCATAAAGACCACCTGATGGGGTCAAACCATTATGCCGACGGATGGGTGGCCCCAGAGCAAAGCAAGGTTAAATCTGATTACGCTCTGCCTTCGACTCGATCTTTATTGGTCTATGAGAACTGCCGTTCAATGTTCTACATGAAACAGCTTTTTTGGGGCAGCGTTTGCATGTCCTACCGTCTTTAACTATGATTCCAACAGTTCTAAGTCACCATTGGCCGATGAAGCCACCTTGAAACAATCTTGGGGGTTTGTTGATGCTTTTTCGATAAAAGGCAGCCTACCTCCGCTATCGTAACTTTGCCTCGGAACGAGAATTTGCCCACGTGTGTTTCATCCAACTCGTGAATAGCAAGTGGCAATGCAGAGGGAATGAACCTATAATGACAAAGATTATTGGTAGCATTGAAGTTCGTAGACCGCAGCTCTGCAAGAGCTTATGAAGCTGTTCATTTTACTCCCAACGTCCCCTAGTATGCATATTATGGCTTTTATGATAGGGCATTTCAACGACTAAATGGCGCAACTAGAAGACTACAAACTTCTAAATGATTGCTCTAACCACTACGTTCTCCGAATTAACTGCTTCAAAAGAGTTAATGCTTTGCGATTCGCGTTCTCCGACACATTAGTCCTTTTTTACTGCGAGCCAGTCGGCCATGCAGGACCGTCTGCCCACACACCCCCGCTATCCTCTTCACGCATCTGGCCCCTCATTTGTACTTTTACAAGTTCAACCAGGCTGCAGTGGTAAACAACTACATTAGTAATGCACGACTTGGAATGCGCGCACACGAAACCAAGCCACCTTCGTGAGCGATCTAGTAAACGGTTGTCTGCGCCATCTGCGGTCAACTTAACCTCTCAGATATCTGCGTAGAGTCCCAACGTGGTTATACACCACATGTCGGGGCCTTCAACAAATGTCTACCATCGTTGGCGCTATAGTGTTTCAATTAACAAAAGTGGGTATTTCGTGGAACCTACTTATCAAGAACCGAGTCATCGTCCTGCACCGCGGTGATGTACAAGGGAGGCTTTGCCTCATCTGCCCCGTCCTTGAACTTGGCGGCCTCAAACTGGATGGGTCGAAGGAATAAGTTGAACTCGTCGTAGCCCATGTCGATGGCCGTGTGGAGGTAGATCTTGGCAAGAACTTCCGACTCCCAAAGACACGTGATCAGACGATGCCGGAGAACCACTACATCAAGCATGAGACCCAGGTTGTTAAGCAGGAAAGCCTTCCGTTGCTTCTTGTCGCCACGGGTGTTCTTGTCCTGAATTATTAGGTATCGTTCGTTGCACAAATTTGACATCTGTTTAGCATCTTCAACGTAGGAGCTAGCAAATAACTTGAAAGAAAACAAAGGCATTTAGATAGAATCCATGGATCGATTTATTCTGGCCAATAGTAAAAAGGCTCCAATCTACTCACATCGCGTTGTAGAGCTTGAGTATAGGAGAGACCAACGGGCTCGATATTGTGAATCTCCATTTGGAGAACCTCATAGAAACGTTTCTCAAGCACCAACTCGTCAATCATTCGCGTTGGATTGAACATGTCGAACGTCATGTCAACGCTCCGTTGCATTGCGTTGGCTAGATTTGCCGCCATTGCCAATGATGGCTGCAACTCCAGTAGGTAACAGGGCATGAGTGCTGGCCTAGCAAACAGACACACAGAAAAATCGTTGTTTTTTCGTTCCTCTTTCCTTCTTTCATTGTGTATTTCTGTAAACCTCTCTCCTTCACTAATAAGGGCCATAAGATTTATAGTTAATTTGGTTCAAAATTGTCATCACAAGCCTTGCGCTTTGGCCTTGTCCTACATACTCGCCACTAAATAATGATTGATGGAAAATGTAGAAAAATTGGTGATTTCAGTGGTTACAGTCCCACAACGACATCTGTAAGCTGATTCGGTGTACGAGCTTCAATCACGGAAGCGGATTTGCACGAATCCTGCCGAAAGGTGGCTGATCCGCCTAGCGTGGAAGTGGGTTCGCGTGTGTACAAGGCTGAATCTAGTACCTGTGTGCAATAAAATATCCTGATTTTTGGAATGCTGCCGACTTGTTGAGGCAAATAAAGTTGCTGGACTTGCCTCGATTATTTCCACAAAGTTGCAGCAAGATTTTTTTTCAGTTATGACCTCCAAACCTGACTAGAGTGAGTGTGATGAGCATGAGATAGCCTTACGCGATAACTTAGGTAGAATTACAGCCTCGATTAGAGGTTGTTAAGGACTTACTGGTCGGTATGTGGACTGATGAGGTTTTGGGTTATGAAGGGTACCGGGTAGCCGTTTTCCGTGCCAGTGGAACCCAGCTTTGTGAAATATTCTCTCTGCTGTTGAATCTAGACGCAGAAGGAAGGAAATACGGAAGCAATCGATAACACATCCGCTCAAGATCCGGTGCAATAATAAAAAAGTCGGAAGTAAATAGTGTATCTGGTTAATGTAATTAAGAGTTGCAAGTGATAACGGCTTTCAACATTAATGTCCTTTCACAACAAATTTGGAAAATTAACAAAACAGGTAATCGTTCTTTTCCTATGCCTTTATACAAACTCTGATTCGTCATTAATTTACTCACACGGCTCATTGACCTCTAAGCCACCGAGCGGAGTGAGGCACTCTACCACTGCTCGAACATTAGCAGGTCATCACGCAAAAAAGTGTTCCATCGTTACACTACCTGAGTGTTCAAGCAGTGCTTCATGATTTCCGTCTTGAGCCGCAGGATCGCGCACTCGTAGCGATAGGCGAGGACAAAGTAACTGCTCGCGAGCTCTATCCGCGGTCTCTGGTGCATCAAGTCGACCATTACCTGGGCCAAGTGCCGGCGGCTCTCGCGAGAACACACGTGCTGGTAGGCCTCCATGTACACATCCATGAGCTAATGCAGACAAAACTCTAGGCTTTAAGTAAGCAAGATTATTTAGTGACACTGGGAAGCATCTGTTAGTAGTTCCATGGGACGGCTATCTGTAACTGCAAAGTACGCATACTTCCTGGGTCCATGGGTTATCTTGCTCCAGTTGGGCGCAAGCACAGAGCCAAGGCGTAGATATTCAGGAATTAGCACTTGTTGTGGTAGTAGCATAGGCGACCTGTTTCTAAGATTAACTGTAGGTATTGCTACAATGTTGAGCTTTCGGCACCATCGTGACTTCAGGCGCTCTAATTGTGCTGATTCTTCAGCATTCATTGAGGCTTGTTCGTTAAGCACTTTAACTGCCTCATTAAAACCGATCAGAATTGGACACGTGGTGTCGCCAAAACGACAGTTTGTTTGATTTCCCGGTAAGTAGGACGCTCTGACAAGTACCTCTTTTTTAGCTTCCTGAAAGGCGCACTCGTTGGTCCAAATGTCGTAGAGCACACCGAATCGATCCACCTCACGATGAGAGTAACCTGCGATGTTAAATTCGTTTTTGCCGCTCTACAATTCACAAAAACAGCCTTTCGTCCAGTGTGCCCGCCCACATGGGTTCCTTCACTCGTCAAAACCTTACATCATTGGCAGCTTGTTTGCGCTTGAAGTTGGACGCGTTGCGCATGGCCTTGTCCTTTTGAATGAAGTGTGTCGCCAGGAGCATGAGGTCCCGCTCCAGACAACTGTAAACAAAATCAACGATTGAGTCTAGACAGCCAGCAGGCAATGCTCCCTAGTAAGCGTTACAGACTCCTACTTGTAGTCTTCAACGGCGCAATTGTAGACCACCCAGCAGCCCACCTGGTCACGAACGTGAATCCTATGATCCACGTGGTAGTAGAAATCATCATGATTTTCAATGTCGGCAAACTGCATGAACTCGGTTTCCTTAATCCTAAAATGCGCAAGACGAGGTCATAATTGTGCTGTGGGGATTCAACTGAATTTGCTGCTATTATCGGCTTGTTAACCGAAGGTTAGCCAGCAGGGGATGGCTCCATTTGGCATTTAAGGAACTACAGCAATCACAAATCACAAAATTACACTCCTTGAGGATGAGAGCTGAAACTGGAGGTAGTCATGACCACGTCTGACCACATAGAAATACACAGTTTTAAAATAATTATTGAATACAATTTTTCTCTCCCCGACGTAGAGACGGCTAAGCTCATTACCTGAAGTCCCTTGGGGTGCTGAAAAGGTACCCATGGCCGACTAGGTTATTGCTGCCACCCTGGTGTCCTTGCAGTTCGGCCGCAATGCGGTGGTTCTGGGGGCTCCTGGTAAGAGTGTAAATGCAAAAAAATTAGTGCTGTGACGCCTAGCTCACAACAGCTAGCTAAAGCTAATTTTGCCTATTGGACAGCAACGAACCAATCAAAAACGCGTTGACGCGTGTTTGTCACAAAGACATACACTAGCTCCCTTAATGGGGATGGAACTCTCCTGATAACGCCAGGATCACGTCGGCTGACTAACAGGCTCCAATTTGCTTTATTGTGCAGCGTAAAAGTGAACTGATGTAAGCATTTTCTTGGGAAATTAAGCTAAGCTGCCAGCAAAAACGTAGAATACCTATTTGCTGGGATGTATTTCACGCTAATCTACGACAAATACCCCCTTGTCCGGGGAAAAAACTTACACTCTTTCTGCGCCTCGGCTTCCGAGGGACAGGCCTTGATCGTTGATCGTTAGAGTGCGTTCAATCGACCGAAAGTAATTGAGCACTGAAATGCACTACATGGCAAAATGGAGTTATTTTACTATTTGGTGCATCACTCGACGCGATGTGGAATTATATACTACTCATTTTACTGCTAAACCAATCAGACAACGAAGGAAGAAGACGCACGAAGTGTTTTTAGGCGGTCAGCGGTTTATCCTTTCTTTCGCGATGAAGTACCACCGTAGAAAGTAACTCGCTTTCTTGAATAGAGCGGTAACCGACAGAATCCAAAGTTGCTACACCATCTAATCAATAACTGCCACTGCGGATCCGGGGTGAATGGTCGATTAGCGACACGTCTAGAGTATTTTAAATGGCACTCAATTTCAGTAGAAAAGCTACCAAAATCTGGAATTTGTCGAACCACAAGGGTAATGAAGTGCGGGCTTCAAAGCTAGGGATTAGTATGCACCTGGTAGCCTATTTAGTATGGTTTCGACTTTGACAGAGGAAAAACTTTACCGTGCGTTGGACATCGCGTATCTTCAGATGTCGCAAGTGAAGGAATGAGAGGTAGGCACCTTGAACACTCGATGGATCGTCCTTGGTGTCAGTTGATTCGTCCAAACTAAGCATTTGCAAGGCGCTGTTGAAATCGTAGCCACCTCGTCCGTTGTTTTTGGAGTCCCCTCCAGCATTGGTGCTAAATATGATAGACCCACGCTTGCTACTACTACTAGCAGTGTAGAAGCTGCTTCAGAAAACTGAGCAAGACACAAGATTCGATGCCTCAGCAACCCTTCCTAGTGTTGCCGACTTTGAACATTCAACCTGTCTGGATACTTCCATGAAATCAGTCGGCACTGGGTATCTTTAATGGGCCTCAGTGCAGATTCGAAAGCCAACTAACTTCCTGCAACGACTTACACGATTTCACACGATTTCATAAAAAACCGAGAGTGTGCAAAGAATCCAATCTGGTTTGCCCAATGACCCCAATTGTATCATGCTCTTCACCAAATCTCCAGATTTCAACAGCTACTACTGACCCCAGCTAAGATGTTCTCAGACACTTGGTTCAGTAGCACCGATTTTTGCCGTAAAAATTGGGGGTAAAGACAAGTGACTTACTCATCATAGAGCTCGGGGTTGGCGAATATTTTACGGAAGATCTCACTAATGCTCATTCCTTGTCGATGACTGACGACAGAGGCGGCATGGATCATGGGCGGGTGTTGAACGAGCATGGCATGATGTCGAAGGGCTTCTTGTACTCGCTGGAGAGATTAAGATTATCCGTGAGTAAATTGGTTGGATTTTCGTCATGAATATGCACAAGGGGACCCAGAGAGTTTGTCTTGGAGAGTTAGGACACATAGCAACTAATGTTTAGCGAATCTACGAGTGCCCGAACCTAGATGGATATGCTAAATCGACATTTGGGGCCATCTCAGGGAATTCACTCCGTGGATTTGATTCTTTATGCATTATGAGCATTCAACTGGTCCAAAGCACAACCATTAACGTGGCGCTTGTCTTCCAAGCAGTCACTGACTGGTGCATTGATGACAATGAACATAGCAAATACCGCAATACGTAGGAAGTGAGGGACAATTTGTGACGTGTTCTAGGTAGTTCGCCTCGTCGTAATAATGAGATTTCCAGATTGGAACTTCAATCCCCTGGATCTAGATTATGGTGGCCTACATCGGAGTTTGTCGAACTGGGTCAGAATTGAGCGCAATAGACCAATGGCCTCAGGAATCACGATATACAGGCATCAAACCATTCCTAACACCACCTTACCAGACAACAAGTGTGACTATGTGTTAAGGTCATACGGTTGATTGCGCTTTTATGTTGCTTTTCAGGCGCGACAATGGCTTTATCACCAAATTTAAAGATCAAGGGCCCTCTACACAAACTTGTGCTTCCTTTTTTACTAGACTTAAATATACAAACAAGGGTAGAGTGTTCCTAGCAAGGTACAGACCGTTGCAACCAAATCTCATGAAAACAGGGATTTGACTTGCTTCTGGTTTGTTCAATTTCAAAAAGGCTGCGAGCGAGCGAAGAATTTCATCTACATTGCCCGCTGATCTCAATTCCATCATGCCCTTCACCAAATCAGCATTACGTTTCGGCTTTAATTTTATGAAGGGCAGCCAGTTGGCTGGTTTCTTCATTGCCCTGTTGGGCGAATCAAAACCCCAGCGGTCATTGCCCGACTGAAGGGAAAAGAAATGCAAGTTTACGCATAAAGAATCAGAAGAAAAAGACGCTAATTAATGTTTGAACACACTGTGACCGCGTCATAAGCTTTGAATGTGCGCATCTCTTGTTGCTCCAGGAATAAACGCCGGAAATTCCTGTTAATGACGGAAAACAACTCCATTTCGTCAGCTGCGGACCTGATCGCTTGAATATTCTAAAATATTACACATGGATGACTTGAAGACTTAATTCAACGAAGATGAAAAGAATGGCACATGAAAACTTACAATCTGAATGCCGTAGGCCACCACGAAGATGGCCAGATGTGGTCTAATACTGGCAATGTCGTTAGTATGTAGCGGAAGTCCATGATAACGCTCGTTGATCACTAGACCCCCTCCACACGCCGCATATTGAATATTCGTCATTGTCGGCGGCAGTGGAATACCGGATCCACCTAATTGAGCCATAAATACTCCCGGTGGTTGGGGAATATGCTCTGAGAAGCGGAAAGCCTGGTCTATTGTGCCAACGTCAACGCCAGCGGTCAGTGTGGGTCCTCTCGGGGCGCTTGCCAGTGATTTGGCCGCGGGTCCGCTGCCGCCTTTTGGTGGGGTGGCTGCACGCGCTGTGACCTCCTGCGAACTCGTAGTCCCACCCGTGTTGCTGTCGGCATTGGGCGCGGTCGACTCCTCGGCCCGCACACTCCCTCCGTCGTCCACACTGGGCACGTTGCTCTCCGAGGTGCTCAACTTTGCGGCTTGTGCAGGTGCCCCACCTGAACCACTGCCCTTCTCTGCGGCTGCTTCCTTACCAGCGTCCTCCGTGTCAGTATCACCTCCCGTCTCCTGTGGAGGGGTTTTTGGAGGTGTCTCCGGAGGGGGTGGGGTATTCTGAGCGGCTCGAGAGACCGAGGCAACTTCCAAGGCGTCTCCGCCTTCTTCGCTTGTACTGCTGCTCAGTCCATTGGCATTCGCCGCGCGGAATGTTGCGGGCCCCCTTTCGAGTACCAGGTTAAGAATTTCACGGATCCCGCCATCCACCTCATAGTGGACTAGGTGATAGGGTTGTTTCTGGAAATCAAATGGAACACTCGACAATTATGCACTAAAAAGTGCTTCTTTCTCCCTTTTAAAAGATGTTATGAAAATAATCGTAACTTATTTTTTATTAAAAATCTATAAAGGGAACCAATCAAACTTGTCCCATCTGGTCAGTTACTTAATAGCGATTCTAACCTAGGACTGCATACATAACCTGTCGTGAATCCTGTTTATTCACACCCCCTAATCCTGTCGCTCCACCTCCGACACAGGGTTCCCCTTGTCGCAGCATGTCGCCAGCCGCGCGGATCCTCAATTTCCCCTTCATTAGCACGAATACTTATCTTGGAACATCCCCACACCTAGGTCTCGATGTTAGCGCATGTATGACTCACACATCCGAGCTATAAATACACACGCGCAAACCCCACACATGGCACAACGACACCAACGTGGTTGACCTCTGAAGTAAACGGTTGTGTCCCGTCCTCTCCGGCCTTTTTTCTTCATCCCGGGCATCAGGCAAGCGTTATCGGGCCAGGTTAGTTCCGTGGCCCCGGCGCGGTTCAAGACCACATGCTAGGGGTCCACAACAAACCTTTTCAATAAAAAATACAACGAGTGACACTGTTAAGGGAGTTATTTAGTTAAAAGACATGCGATCAAATATGCAGCGTGATTGAGCAGGCGATTGAAATTTAGCAAATGCGTGCCGCGACCTTGCTCAAACAGATTTGTTGACCCAAATAGTGCCCATGATCCCAAAGTTCAGAGCCACACGTCAGCTTGTCATTTCTGCCACAGTACTTATCGATAAAGTCAAAATGATTTGAACAGATGAGAGGGAGATCACGCTTAACCTGAGAGCCACATTTAAAATAAGGTGCTTAAAAACAAAAGTAACGGAATTTTACTTACGGAAAGATCCTGTTTGAATCCTTCACGGTGGCCATAAGGAAACCACTTTATGAGCTGAATCGGAATGCGAGTGTTACAATGAAATTACAAATTACATGAATGAGCTGTTTGAAGTACGTCTGGGATTGCAGTTTGACAATCATTGACCGCCAGTAGATCAGAAAGTCGTCGAATTCCACATCTTCAAGGCAGTTGTCATTTCCCGCTAAAAGGGACTCATCTGCACTCGACAGTCGATGCGCGCGGGAACTGCATTCCAAGTACTCTTCTGTTAGATGTCTATGCGGGAATAATTAGGACTGAATTGACATCGCGCTTACTCGGCAACCATAAGGTAATCCTGGTATACCTTCTCAACTTTCAGAGTGTCTGAACAATAGCGCTTCCACCGTAACATCAAGAGGTGTTTTGCAGTCACAACTTCATTCATCCTGTCCAGAAAGTACTAAAAAATAAATTAGTCAGGGGAAGCAGCACCTGAAGAAGCAGAGGTGGGATCGAAGTAGCATTGAATTCACCCTTTTGGCAGGTGTCCTGGTCAGCTACCATCTGGTCAGCCTGTACAAAGAGATCACGCGGCGCTGAAACCTGCAGCGTCCGTTGTAAAATAAGTTTGCGTCTCCGACGAAAGTACTCGGGATCTTTTGGAATGTATACGGAACTAACCGAAGAGAGGGCACTGAAGTTAAACGACAAGCTAACCTCATTCCCTTCGAAGGGATGCCATGTATGAGTTCGTTTTCTTCAATCTGGGCCTTCAATTCCTGCAAATCTGCCTTTAGTCCATCTTCCTGTGACTTGAGAACATCTTCGTCGTCATCCATTTGAGTGTTGCTTTTAAATACAACAAAAAAACATTAAATTTTGCTAATAATTAGTAGTGACTGTAGTACTACTAACACCTACAAATTTTAGCGCTCTTGCATTGTCTGAAGTTCGCATTTCATGAGTCGAAACTAAATTTACTACTAAGACACTGGAAACTTTCAGCTGGACATAACTTAGACCTTCAAAGTAAGCAATTACCTCAAGTAACAAAAATGACTTGCAAAATGAACGTAATTGCTCTTAATGAGAGATTGGTTATTCGGATTAATTGTTATGCCTTCTAACCCATATGAAATGCCTCCTTTAGGCGGATTTTAACCGCAGAAGTGCAGGGATTTTATTTTTACTTTCTCTTTTCTTTCTCATTTGCTAATACTATCCACATTGCAGTGAATGATAAATTGGAAATAACACGCTTACTGAGGCTATATCAGTATCGTAAGGCACATGAACAGATGCATCAATCAAAAATTTGCGGCTGTGAGTTGTGGCTTACGTTGTGAAGGAGACATGCATACCTTTGTTCACATCTGTTTATTTAGAATCCATCTTAACATGCGACGCGAAGTCGAAAATGTCTAATATATTTAACTTTCATTTCAATAAAAAGAAGGCATCAGATGGAATTCATGAATATTTATTTTGTATGATATAAAATGATTAAAAGAACGAGCATGTCAAAACAGGTTAAAAATATTTTTTACTCAAAGGCGATCACCAATATCCTACATGCCCTAAAACAGTTCATACTACCACAATCAAAGCTATAATCAGTGGTAATGGCTAGATACCGGTAAGAAATGTTGACGAGACGTACTTAGGTGTATCATAGATAACAAAAAGGTTAAATAAAATAACATTAACTTTTCGAAAACACTAAGCGTTTGGTTAACTTCAAAACCGGTCTTCACTAGTTTATAACATAAGCACCCAAAAAGAATCTTGCTTCAGGCGAGTTAAACCACAAAACATAATTTTAAACTGATTCATATTATAAAAGGCCATGCTGTTAATTTAGCAGGATGGTAAATGCGTTGTATATTTTAAAATGTTTCATTAAAAATAAAATACCAAATTAGAGAACATGTTGCTAAAATTGCTAGAATCAAAGTAATGAAAAGTTATTAGCTTTTAAAACTAAAAATAAAAGTACTCAATCAATAGCACAAGATCTCCCAAATGTTTTATGGATCATTTATAATTGTCTGAGTTCGTTAAGTTAAAAAAATGCAATTCAAAGGTCATTACGTGATATAACATTTGTTACTGATAGTGACCTGAAAGCATTGATAGTACAGAAATTGGTTGATGCAGACTTACGGTTAAAAGACTACTGAAATACAATGAGGCACATTCTAAAAACTAACAATCATCAGCAAAAATTAAAAAGATAACATCAAAGATATCTACGTTCTGCAATTCAGTGTCTGTCAGATAAAAAAAAGTTTAAACTACTCACCTCAAAAATCGTTAGTTTAGTTGGTTTCAAATGACAATTAGAATCAAATATAACAATCAATCCTTAGACATATTATAGGACACGATTTATAGAAAATACAAAACTGCCACTACAACGAATTATTGTGTAAATAGATCTAGGTAGTTAAAAAGCAAGGCGCAGTGCAGCATCATTAATGAAATAACATCGATCGCAAGTAAATTTATATAAATAACTTCAAAAAAATACGCATTAGAGTCACAAAAATAAAATTATAAAAAGCAAGGAATTAGCAATCTGCTTATTTAATAATATTCATATCATACCAAACCTAACGACACAAGCCAGACGCTTATTTGAAAACGCGCCAAAGCGTTACCAATGCCGAGTCAAACCTTTTCAACCATTAAAACTTCTGACACGATATTTATACCTGCACAATATTAGATAGCAGGTCATTTTTGCACATTACCCAAATTGTAATAAATAATTTTATCTAATGCTAACATGTGGTGGAATACATCAAATATCATTCCACGAAAGTTATGAATGCTTCGGATAACTTGCATAATTGTTGTGCAGTTTCAAAAAAGCCTGCTTGTGGTACAAAAACGTCAAAATTAATTTTATAAATTTTACAGGTATTAACGTTAGCTAAAGACCCGTTAATGTATCATTTAACCGGAAATTATAAAAATTACAGAACTGCACAGAGAATAATTTTTCATCATTTCCGCCAATCTGCTTAAGCAGATTGTGACTCAACTCTATGATTGTGGAAATTTGAAGCTATTTTGAAGCAAAACTACCTAGGAACTAAATTTACTATTGATACTTGATTAGGAATAAATGATAATTGTGTACAATAAGGCCTCAATATGCTTATCGAAATTAATTTAGCAAGTTAGTCATTGGCATGAATACTGTTTAATTAAAATGTAAGTATATTATATTTTAATATTATTGTTTTTTGTATTATCGATGCCAAGGTTTACAAAATCTAGTTTATGGGCTTATTTTCAACAAAGAACAAACCTTGAAATCAGGTCCTTCAAAAACCGAAGTAAATAAATATCGATTTCCTTAAACACAATTAATGTAAATTACCATGTTAAAAGCAAATGCTGCTTTCGGTGGCCATTACAAAATGATGAGAAAATTTTTGACGCCCTAAAATTTGATATCATTACTTACCGAGCAATGATATTTTCGAAACCGGAACACATTGAAATACAAATTAGGTCCATTTCTTTCTGAATTACGCAGCTTGTGATTCCCTATTTTTTTGACATGCCTAGTATAAATTTTTGAATCTCACCTCATGCATGCATTCAGATTATCCTATATATGTTTACAAATGACCACCACTGACCACTTTGCCGTTCGAAATAAAAGTAGTTTAAGTTTAAGGCCAATAGGCCATAAAATATAAATTTGTTAGCAGATTTAGAATTTAATTAGGTTTCCAAGTCATAAACTGTTTCCTGTTTTATACTAAATGTATGAAAGATAAAATGATTTTATATTTCTGCTTAAAAATACATTTCAACAACAGATGCAGGAAAGGTAAGGATGTTTGATATGTCTGTGCCATATTTAAAACTTTTGGATTTGACAATTTTTTATATGGCTGGGGTGAACATTCAGACAGTAGTCATATTTGAGTTAGAGCGCCTTAAATTGGTTTAAGTTAGTTGATGAGTTTTAACCGGATCGAGGAGTTCATCCTTAACCAATCACGTAGCCAATGAGAGGATGAGTAATAATAATAGTAGTAAAGCCGGCAGCTTCGAAAAATCATTGGCTCGGTTTCTATTGGCTTGCAATTTGAATTACAAACTTGACTGAATTGCAATGAGTGAGTTGTCGTACATTAGGACTTTATCTGATGATGATCTCCGCGATAAGTTGGAGGAGAACGGTTGCCGTGCACCACCTATTACAGGTTTGTTTTGTAGGAACAGTTGATTTTTTAGATGACGCTGTCAGGGAAGTTTTGAGAAGAAAATTATTTAAGCTTCTTTATCGTGAGTATATTATTATATTACTTACGGTATCGTTTAGCAAACATGGAATATCCTGAAATGTAAGTTTATCAGAGCTATTTATGCCCAAAATTAGTGAAACGACCGGCAGTGATTTTGGTGATTGCGAGGATGTCGATATGAGCGTGCGAGACAGGCGGCCTGAGAATGTCTCTGCAGCCAGTTCTTCCAATGATCCAGTTCAGAGCAAGAAACCCGCGTCTTCCAGCCGAATAATCATCCCCATATGTTTTGTGATTTTAAACGTACTTCTCGCTGCTGTTATCTTTTTCAGAGACTTAGTCTTTTAAACATTTCTAGTCTTCTCAGAAAGATGTTTTCCAGTTGTTATCGTCAATGTGAAATGCAAATTTTCTTTAAAGCACTTCGTTTTATAAACCTGTTAACGGTAAATGCGACGCTTTGGGACCGTGAGTTATCAGATTGCTGAGTCCAGTTACCTAGGTCGGTGTCGTGCTTAGACATTTGTGGTCCCTATTTGAATCAATGTGCAATAATGCACATAAGTATTGTACCAAATTTTCTTTACTGGGTTGAGCTCGTATCCAGTGTCCACTGTTGTTAATCGTAGTTGATATCAGCTCTTAGGTGAGTTTTCCTTTTTCAAAGGCTGTGTTATTACCGTCCTTATAATAAACTAGATTATGGAACCGATCGATTGTTAGCCGCGTCTATGAGGAACAGGCCTTTATTACCGGTGGGCAGTTTGTCAATCGATGTCGTTACAGGCTCGCGTGATGGTGGCACATTCATCGCTTCCACTGAAATGGCATTTTGCACTATCGCTGCAACTTCAACAGTTCTGATTTTGCTTGAATGCACCAGTGGGCGTACTGCAGCTGCTTATCTTAATTCGTAACGAATCGCGTTTCATGGTGCTTCGTGGATCTGCGTGAATCTGAACGACAAGCAAAGGCGCTTCGCGAAATTGACTCTGGAGTTCTTTATTTTTCCGCTGCCGTCATTCCCTACCTTCCTACTGCATTGGGGCAATTGGTCAATTTAGCATCAGCTCGATGGTAAACGCTTCTATGTGTTAACTCGCACTCCCACCTACGCAGGACTTCGGTTTCATCAAGTGCTGTCAATGTTTTAGATGATAATACTCATAATAGTCGGGTTGTGGAACACCTCTGTGTCCAAATTAGGGGCAGACCATCTGAGCAGTGGCTCCTTACAGGCTGTTTCGCAGGCGCTACGCAACGGTGCTTCTTTGAGTGCCAAATCTTCAAACTACTTAGCTTGAGCATCACATCAAGTCGAAAATTCGTACTTGGAGATGGCTCCATGATTGTATTTTACTGTGGTATTAAACGCCGCTAAGAACGTGAGCAAACGGCTTCTCAATGTAGCGCAGGTGACCAGTTGATGGTGGCACGATGACGAACATTGGGGGGTCCTTCCTTTCACGATTGCTGTCTACAACCACATGCTAGCTTGCATGATCGACAAAATCTTGATCTCATTAAATGAGGAATTAGCGCCGTACAAAAGGCGGTTTCAGCGAGTGGCA